TTTCTAAAACCCCCAAAACGAAATCGGAGGAACGAATCACCGATTTAGCCTAATTTCCGTTACCGAATGACGCTTTTCTCCTGATGTTCCACTTCTTCTTCATTGCCTTTTATGTCAAAAAGGTAATCGTCCTCTTGTCAAAAGTTTTAGGTCAAATTGTGAAAGTAAACAATTGACTTTTCGTATTGGAACCGCTTTGATGGCATAGAGAGGTTCAGAATTCTGGATCATTGTTAATGGTTCCACAAAAAGGGGTACGGTACTAGTTGAAAAAGTCAACTTTGAAGGTTTGAAAATATTATTCAGAAATGTTAGATTTGTCTCAAATTTTCAGAGTATACTAAACAAAAATAGAGCTTCCATTTTGTAGTTAACAAATTTTTTGTATAAATTCATCCAAACGAGATATGTCTCTTAAAAGTACCACTATTGTGAAGTCACTGATATTTCTGGAAGTTCCATTGGTTAGTTTAGTCCGCTATATCTCATTTAGATGAACTTTTCACAAAACGTTGTCAACTACAAAAATGAAGCTCTATTTTTGTTCAGTATACTGTGACATTTTCAAACAAATCGAAAATCCGTGGGGATAAATTTGGATCGGGCCAAAAATAAGAGCTCAGATTTTCAGGTTTTCAGCGAACTTGAATACCCTAAACACTCTAATAAAACGTTGCCCAAACTTTTGCCTTTTCATGTATCTCGATTCCTGTGAAAGATATCAAACATTTATCAACTGATAAGATACCTTTCATGGGAATTGAGATAATTCAAAACTTAAAGGTTTGAGTGGCGTTCTATTAAAGTGTGGTCTCACTTCTTTATGAAATCTATGTTACTATGTAAAATTTTGAAGATTTCGAAACACATCCTTCCCGGAATTTTGAAATTTCCTGTGACAATCTCCCATGAGTTAATTTAACATTTAACCATTCACCAAACATTACACCATTTGTACTTTTCCCAATTTTCTCATCCTCACAATGTAAAATTACAAAAAAAAAACTCTTACAATACTTTGTCTTATACATAAAATAACATGTACTTCCCTTTTTCCTAACCTATTACATATCATTCAGTCTCTCTTTTACCTTTTGCTTAGTCACTCTTTTTAACTTTTTAGGTCACTAAAAAATGAGAACAATGACCCAGTTATCTCTTGTCTCTCTATCTCTTCTTTTTCCATGAAAATAACAACCAGTTGCAACAAGAAAAACTCATTCAACTGTGATTTTTTTCCTTTTTATCCACACAATGCTACATTTTTGAGAGGACAACCTGTTCTCAAGGTATCTAGGCCAAACAACAATGATTGTCTGTTTGTCCGGATGTCTGATATTCAAAATGTTTTTATAATTTTTAATTATAAAAGATCATATTCCAATTACTGGTATAAAATTCTGTACACTTTAATTTTCAGAAGCCTCAACCACTTCAAAATCTTCGATTTAAATACATTTTGAGATTCTGGGCACAGTTTGAGGTAGTGGTGTCATGACACTCTATCTGATTTATTTTTTAATATTTTTTCCAAGAAGAAACCACGGGGTTACCGTAGTTATATTTGGCCATTCTGGCACATTCTGGCACCGTGAAATCTGTTATAGAAGAGCCTCTAACTTTAAACTTCGAGTTAATTTATCTCAGTTCCTAGTGAGATATCAGAAAGTAGTCAACTAACAAAATATTTTAAATATTATGATAAACATTTCATCAGTTGATTACTTTTTGATATCTTTCACAGAAACCGAGATAAATTGTCCCAAAGTGGACGGTTTGGAGATTTATCTTTATCGAGACGCCCGGATGTCTCGTTCGAATCCACGTGGCGCTAACCCAAATAGATATTATAGGCTATACATTCATTCGTATAAGCATTTTCTTTTTCCGAAAATCCTCCCAAAAAAGACAGCAAAAAGTCTTGAAGTACTATTGGTTTTCGGAAGGAAAACGAAACTTTTCACCCCCACCACCCGCATTAGTATGTCAATTTCCATTTGACTCTGTTCTTCTTTCTCCAAAAAGGTATTTGTGTTTTTTAATTGAATGTTCTCGCGAAGAAGCGGTTTTGGTAGAAAAAGGAACATCGGGAACAGACTACTCTTGAAAGTAAAAAAATAGTCATAAAGTGTTGCGAATGCAAAGGTAGGTCAGACTAAAAGTTGATTTTGAGAGTCTAAAGAATCAAGGAAAGGGAAATTTTCTGAACCGCAGAGAGGGGAATAAAAGTCAGATTCCCTGAATTTCTAAATCAAAAAATTTATAAAAAACCGGAGAGTAGAGAACCTCGAAATTTACCTTAAACACTCCAATAGTATGCCCGTCTCCGAAGCGTTAACTTTGAGCCCATATATCTCGGCTCCCTTAAGATATTTTTAGAAATTGTCAACTGATAAATTATTTTTCATATTATCAGCTAGAGTTTATTAATTGGCAACTTTTTGATATCTCACATAAGAACCGAGATAAATTAGCTCAAAGCTGAAAGTAAGGATAGTCATACTAGTAGATTGTTATCGTTGAAGTTCTGAATTTCCTGAATGTAGAAATGACAACTGAGATTGAAATTCTTTACTTTAAACACTCAAAATCCTGGAGTTTCAAAATTCATGATCTAGAACTACAGTACCCCATTCCATAAAACAGAAATTCTAACCGTCGAATTTCAAAATTTTAGAGTCATCTCGATTTTACATCTCTTCTTCCGTACAAAACATACTTCCAAATATGAAGATATTCGAATTCGGAAGAGGTAAAACCACCGCACCTTCCTTTTCTCTCTCTCTCTCTCCGTGTATCGCAATATCTCTTTATTTTGACCCCCGCTATCATCACCGACCGCTCCCTCCAAAATTGTGTCATCCTCCCCCTTCTTTGGATTCTCCCGATGAATATTTGGGTTATCTTCTTCTTCTTATTCTCACCTGTTCTTTCTTCTTCTTCTTTACCTTCTGTTGAATTTCGGGAACGGTCGAAGAAGAAAAAGAAGAAAAAGAAAAAGGTCGGAAGAAGAAGGAGAAGGCGCGGCCAACCGAAATGAACAATTCGCCAATAATACTTCCAAGAAGCTTCCCCAATTATGACATTTCTCACTCTCTTTTGGTCTTTTCCATGTTTCTTACTTGTCCACTTTAGCGGATATACAGTTTTTATATAGCCTCATGAAGAAGTTTTCAGTGTCTGTGTGTCCGGATGTCCTTGTTTTGAAACTTTTTGATTTTTTGAAGATGTTCCTCCTAAGATTCAGAATATTTTTGAGATTCAAAGTTACTGGAAACCAAAATTCAAAATTTTGCAATCTCTGAAATCGAATTTTCCAATATTTTGTATTTATAAAGATCATTTTTAAAAGTTAAATTGCGGAATTTCTAGAGTTTGCAATTTCAAAAATTTTCAAGATTACCGTATTTCCTCAAATAGAAGCTTTTGAATAACGGCCAACTTTGAGCTCAATTATCTCGGTTTCTGTAAAAAATATCAAAATTGTATCAACTGATAAAATATTGGTGACATTACGATAAATAATTTATCAGTTGACACATTTTTTATATCTTTTACAGGAATCGAGATAATTGAGTTTAAAGTTGACGGTTTATGTAAGTTTCTATTAGAAGAAATATGCTATATTTGGTTTTATTGGTCTCCAATTTCCAGATCTAAAGATTCCCCAAAAGATTCCCTAAACCAAAAAAACCAGTAAAACAATTCCTAAATAAACATAATAAACCATTTCTCGGTTTGTCCATCTAAATCCTCTTATCCCCATCCTACAGTACCCCTCTCCTCAGAAAGATTAACTCTCCCATCCCAAACAATGTGTGACAAATCTCGATGATTCAAAAAAAAGAAGCTTCTTTTCGTTCCTCCCCAACCGTATTCCAGTCAATCCGTACCACATTAGCCTCTCTGCGCCTCTCGTTTCCCAATTATCTCTCGCTTTTCTGAACCTTAAGCCTAATTTGAACGCGCGCCAAACCTTTCGTAGGAGGAAAGGGGTGACGCCTTCATGATTCTGGTTTCGTCCATTTCCCCCCTCCTTTTTCGATGATCATTCTCTATTCAAAACTACTTTATTATATGCTGATGATGCTTCATTCGGTTTTTCCACCCCTTTTTTCTTTCAGTTTTTTGTACAAGTTTAGTGACCAGCCGGAAAAAAATTAACATTCATGAAAGGCTAATTTTAAAATTTTATTCTCAAAGTTTTAGAATTTTGGTTGCATAGAAATTTGAAATCTCAAAATCCGAGAACCGGAAATTCCAAATTTTTAGAATCTCAGAATTTCAGAAGTACTCGAACTTCAGTTATTCAGAATCTCGGAATATCAGAATCTCCGAATTTCAGACTTTCAAAACCTCAGAATCTCGGAATCTCAAAATCTCAGATTCTCAGAATCTCAGAATCACATGGTTTCAGAATTTCATATTTCCAGAATCTCAGAATCATTAAATTTGTGAATCTTAAAATCTCAGAATCTCAGAATCCCAAAACTTCCGAATTTAAAATTGTCGTATGTCCAGAATCTCAGGATCTTAGAATCTCCGAACCTCAAAATTTCGAAATCCGAATATTTTAGACACTTTAAAAAATTGAAATTTCGAAAAGTTATTTTTTTTCAAGATTTTGTTTCTAAATCTTCAAAGAATCTGAAATTTTAATTTTTTTTCTCGAATCTCGTCTTCTGGTGGCTTAGTTATCATATTTCTGAAATTTTCAGTCAAATTTTTAAACCAAAATTTGAAAAATCTTCCAGCAAGTCAGTTTATTTTAACTCATAGGACCATCAAATTTTGAACCTCTTCTCCCTTATAATTTTCGTTTTCTTCCCATCCGTTTCCTTAGGATTCTCACACATCGTAACGTCTTCTATTTCCCTTCAATCCCCATTTCGTAATCATCAATCTCAATCTTGATTCCCCATTAAATTATTCCATTTCCAGCCCATTCCATCTTCCTTCACAGACAAAATGCGTTGGGTGTTATTATATGGCTTCTGGCCATGACTGTATCCTCAACATCCGCAGCTGAATGCCCTCCAAACACATTCACGTGTGCTGATGGAAGTTGTATACCATCTGATTGGAAAGGAGATGGTGAAAAAGATTGTGAAGATGGATCAGACGAAGTGGAAGGAGTGACTGGAACAACTGTCGAAGGCAAATTCGATGAAGTCGTCACTTCTGGAACAACGACTTCTGGCGTCACGTCATCTGATGAGGAGTGTGATTGGGGAATGCAACAGAGAATTGATAACTGCTCTGAGCCAATTGTCATGTTTTTACATCAAATCGAAAGACTCAACTTGAAAAATATGTCTTTCTTGACGTCTTCTGAAGTGTGAGTTGTTGTGGTATTGACAAAAAAGAATATGCAAATTGGGATTTTGTGTAACTCTGGGAAATTGAAACTGAAAGGAAAATTGAAACTGAAGGAATTAGAAAAAATTTTAGAGAAATTTAAAAATTCAATGATTTTGTAATTTGATAATATTGACACTTTGAAAATCCAAATCCATTATCGTTACCGTATATGCTCTAATAGAATCGCAACATATACGTACACTTTGAGCTCAATTATCAGAATTTCTGAAAGAGATATCAAAATTTTGTCAACTGAGAAAATGCTTATCAAAATATCACCAACATTTTTTCAGTTTACTAATTTTCGATATCTTTCATAGGAACCATTAAGCTCAAATGCACGTATAAGGGTATCCCTTAATTTGTTCAAATTACAAGATTCTCGAATTCTTAAAAACTTAAAATCCGATTTTTTCCACTTTTTACAAACCGTTACAAACTTGTCTCAATAAAAAGTGAAAATAAGTGATCTCCTCTTGAGAAAAAAGTGCACTTCAGGTCGCTCATAAATTATGTATCCGGATATAATTACCCCAACTGAATCGATCCGTCACTTTCTATAAATCACATTTTGCAGTCAATCTCAAATCGAAAGTGGATGTAATCTGATGACAAATTATCAAGAATGCGTTGGAAATGAAAAAGGATGTATGCCAGACGAAGGAGTTCATTCATGGAGAGAAATTGAAATGTTCATGTGTCAATTGGTTCTTCCGTCGGTCAAAGAGCATTCGGCATGCTTCAAGGCTTCCGCTGATTCTAGATGTGATGCCAGGTAAGGTATTTTGAAAACTTGTTAGACGCCAACCCCATAATTGCACTTTGAGATAATTATCTCAATTTCTGTAAGAGATAACAAAAATCTGTCAACTGATAAAATGTTTGGCATAGTATTGTAAAAAGTTTATCAGTTGACAGATTTTTGATATCTTTCACAAAAATCTAGATAATTGAGCTGAAAGTGCAGATGTAGGTTGGCCTTATAGTGTTCAGATTAGACCCATGAAAACTTCAAAAAACTAAAAATCTATATTACCAGCAAAACTTCTTCTTCCTCATCTCTCTGCGGACTTGTCACTTCTATCCAAACTGCCACGTCGTGCCTGGAGACCATCCGACCAGAAGCTTGTTCATCTGATGCCATCGAAATGTTGGCTCCAATCAGAGAAGAAACCGAGCACATCGTTTCAGCGATTCGTTGTGTGGTGAGTGATAAAAATCGAAAAGCTTGAGTACTCCTATAGATACTCTCTGAGCTCACTTATCTCGGTTCCTTTGAGAGATATCAAAAATTGGTTAACTAATAAAATATTGGAAATGTTATAGTAATAATTCATCAGTTGACAAATTTTTGCTATCTTTTATAGGAAAATAGATAATTGGGCTCAAAGCAGCCAGAAACTTATATATGTAGTAAGTTGTATTTGAACTTTTCAGTAGAGCGCATTTACTATATGCAACCACTTATCTTAAAACCACTTATCTCTACTAATTGCAGCTACCTGAACAATCATCAAGCACCACTCTAATCGTCGATGAAACAACTGAATCAACCTCAGCATCCGCCGAAGACGACGGAGATATTCTTACCACAGCCACGGATTCTGAATCCACGACTACAACCACAAACCAAGAAATGGAGAATCGACCAGCTTTGACTATCAATATGGCTGATGCTGTCAATTCGTTGTACTACATTTATGATATCTGCTCAGCCAACTACTCTTCTGATCCATTCGCCGCTGTTGCTGAAAGAATTTGTGCGAAGCAAGACGAGATTGCAAAATGGAGTGATTGTTATCAGAAGACATTGGAGAAGGAGAAATGTGCAATCAGAAATGCTACCTCTAAATGCGAAGCTTTGATTTCCTACAACAACAATTTGGATTGCGCAATTGTTACAATGAACGATGAATGTGAAGTTGATGCACAGAATCTTGTCGTGGAACTTCAAGAAGAAGTCAATGATCTGATTATCGCTGGAAAATGCTTTGACGAGAAGAAAGAAGAGGAAGAGAAGGCTCCAAGCCCACCAAAAGAAGGAGAATTCCATCTTCAGACTACACTACCAAAATGTACAGAAGAGCAAGAAAATGGAGCACTTGGATGTCTCGTGGAACTCGTTGAGATTAACAAAAAGCTTACCGCATTCTCCAATCTCAACTTCCTTCTGGAAATTGCCAGTCCAAACTCATCAGTCGTCGAAGGAATCTGCTCTTTGTTTGCCAGATATGAGCAATGTCTCTCTGTTACTGTATTCAAGGATTCTCAAAGATGCTCGTTCGCTTCTCCACTGAACTCTCTCGCCAGAATCGGACTTGCCCCAATTTGCTCCTTGGATTCGCGTCCAATGTTGGCTAAACACAGATCGTGCTTTGAGAAGCTCGCCACTGAAGCTGATGAAGAAACCAACTGTCAGTCTGCACTCTCTTCTCTCTCGAATACGGTTCAAATGATGCTCAATGGAGTTCATGGAGAGGCTCTTCTATGCAAATCGTTCTACACTATCAGAGATACATTCTCGTGTGGAGAGAAGGCTGTGAAGAATAAGTGTGAAGAGGATGCGTTGACAGATTTGATGAACTTGAAGACCAAAGTGAGTGAAACCTTCAGAATTTTTTTGTGAAAATTGATAATTCTGAGGAGCTAGCATTTAACGAACTTCTCTGAAACAGTACCAGACAAACATATCCTTTAAAGGTGGGGGGACAGGAGATTTTACGGGGGATTTTTGGGGCCAGAGTATGCATTCTACCGTGACGGTGTACAACGCTTAATGTCACTCTGCGTACAGCTGTCGTCCTCGCCTTTATGTATGCAATCCGACGGCCGCTTTCTCTTTGCCCGTGTAGCTCAGTCGGTAGCGGCGCCGCACCCTCAATCCTCGCCCTCACAAGTTCATTTCCTCGAGGGGCGTATGTAAACGGAATTTCGAGAAAATAATTTTTTTCATGTTCCTCCACCTTTAAAATGTTTTTTTTGTTGAAAATAGTCAACTTTAAAGTTTTACAAAAGTAGTCCAGAGTTATTAGATTTGTCTGAAAATTTCAGAGTATGCTGAACAAAAATAGAGCTTCAATTTGGTAGTGGACAACTTTTTTGTAGAAATTTATCCAAACGAAATATAATGCTTGAAATTCACCAACTGACAAAAATTCTTGAAACAGCACTAATTCAGAGTAAGGTTGATTTCAAGATGTTTATATCCTTTGGATGAATTTGTACAAAAAAGTTGTCAACTACAAAGTGGAAGCTCTATTTTTGTTTAGTATACTCTGAAAAGTTCAGATAGATCGAAATATCTTGAAATACTTTTGTAGGTCTACAAAGTTGACTACCGTATTTCCTCTAATATAAGCCCACCCAATCCGTTAACTTTGAGCTTAATTATCTCGATTCCTGTCAAAGATATGAAGATGTCAGCTGATAAATTTTTAATCATACTTTTGCAAACATTTTATCAGTTGAGAAATGTTTTATATCTTTCACAGGAATCGAGATAATTGAGCTCAAAGTGGACGGTTTAGGTGGGCTCCTATTAGAGGAAATACGGTATTTTTGTTGGGTACTGTAGATATGCACGTGAAAAAAAAGAATTTTGGTCAGCTGATATTTTGATCTCCTGTTCTTCAATGACTCACTAGCGACAAGCTGATCAAAACAAGAGGAACGCCGTTCTCTCTCCGAAAAAATTAGGTCACAACGTCATCTGATTGCGATGGAACTAGACTAAGCGCAGCTGTGGGATTTGCGCAATCAGAGAACAAACAGAAATAGAAGCTACGCATCAAAAATCTAGAAGCCCGAAACAATGAATCTAAGCTTCCCTCAAATTGAATACTTTTCCAGATGACATCACTAGGATTGGAAGAAGGATGTCCACGTGATCCACCAGCCAACCTTGACGAGATCATCGCTCGTCCAGTTGCTCGTCCAACCCCAGTCACCATGCCCCCACGTGCTCCAACTGCTCGTCCAATGCCACTTCCAGCCGTCCCACCACCAACACAACCATCTTCCCCATCAAAATGTGCCGTTGAGGAGCAAAAGAAATTCGAGGAGTGTGTCAAACCATTGACCTCCTTCCAACCACACCCACTCTCGGTGATTGCTATGCCAAGAGATATCGATCAGGCCTGCGAAGCATTCCACACTTTCAAGGCTTGCTCGGCAGAGAGCAACTGTCATCCATTGTGGGCTCGTGGAATGAGTGCAATGTTTGAATACGCTTGTAACGAGGCTAATGAACAATTCAAGAAGGTTCGAAAATGTATCCGTGAGACATCAATGATTGAAGAAGTCCGTTCCTGTGTCTCCGATTTCTCTCGTGGAGCACCAACTGCCGCATGTATGTCATCCAACCGTCTCCACTCTTGTGCCATCCCACAAATTCAAGCTAAATGTGGACAAGAAGCTGCTGATTGGGTATCCAACTACATTATCCGATTCGCCAATGCTATTGATGTCCGATGCAAAGTTGGAAGACAACTTCCAGTTGGAAGAGTTGTTGGAATCGGATGCTCTGCCGAGGAAGAAGTTATCATTGAGCATTGTGCTGCTCCACTTAATGATATTGGGTCTCGAGTGGAAGAGTTGTTCGCCGGTGGAATGCAATCTCTCATCAAGAACATCAACTCCCTTGCCCCAGTTTTCGCAGGAGCTTGTAATCTTACTGACGAATTCAAAACCTGTGCTCATTTCTTGTTGGAGGGAAGAACATCATGTGTAGTTTCATCTTGCATGATTGAAGCTGGTCGTAATATTTGCCAACTTTCGGATCCAGCCAAGGCTATCGATGATAACTTATCCTGTCTCTTCGGACAAGCTCAAGAACCCAAATTCGCTCAATGCATCCGTTCAACAATTTCCACTTTGAAACAATTTAATCTTTCAACATTGAGAAGTGTACTTCCAAAGTTTATTGATTGTACAAAGGACATTGTTATCGATAAGTGTGGAGAGTCTCCAATTACAATCATGAAAGCCATGAGTACCCCTGATATCTGCCCAATCCGTCCAAATCATGCTCCAATTGTTCTGTGAATGCACCAACTAGAGTTACACCAAATCTCGGAACTGTTTTGAGTTCGTCAACGGCTTCTACCATGGCGTCTGAAGAGACTGAAACTACTGAAGTCACTGAAGCGGCAACTGAGGCTCCAACAACCCCAGAAACCGGATGCGGAGAATCTGCTCTTGTCGATTATTATCAATGCGAAACCCATCTCGATCAATTCGCCTTCCGTCCAATTTCGATCATTGGAGATGCTTCAAAATGGGATCAATTCTGCCAAATGGCCAATCAGACGTATATCCCATGTGTCGAAGGACTCAAATGCAAATCCGAACCAGCTGCCACTGCTCAAATCGGACTTATCGATTCGATTTGTAATCGAGAAATCACTTTGAGAGATCAGAAACAACATGCTATGTGTTTGTCAGAGTACACTAAATCAGATGCTGGACTCGCTTGCATTTCTGATTTTGGAAAGATTGATCAATTGGATAAATCATCGCCAGCGCAAATGTGTGATGGGTAAGTGTAGGTCAAAAAGCATTTTAAAGTAGGTTACAGTAATCCAAGTCTTTTGAAAATTTTATAACATGATAAGACCAGAATGAGCTTTGTTTTTGTAGTTGAAAACTATTGAAGTGAAAGAGTTTAGCTCGATTTTTCCGTTTTCTTGTCAGATTACTGTAAACTAATTTTCCAGTATTAACCACGTCATGAGATGCTCAACCACTGAAATCGAGAAGCGATGTGGGTTCGACGCCGTTCTCCACGTCTTCAGTGTCCACATGCACTGGGCAAATCTTTTCAACGCATCCTGCATCCTAGAGTCTCCAGAACCATCCAAGGAGATTACGGTAGGACATACAGACAAACAGACAGACATTATTAAATTAGAATTTGCAGAGCATCGACGTGAATGAGGTGGAGCCATCTCGCGATCAGAAACCAGTGGTTGTGACGAAAGACGAAACTACACCAATGGCAGTAACCACTGCAATGAATAATGATGTCACGGAACCAGAAGAGACAACAACGACGACGACAGCTCCAGTACAGTCAACTGTATCTTTTGCAGTTGTATTAGCTACAGTTCTTCCATTCTTCGCTCTTCTCTAAATATTTTTTTTCAATAATTTCCCAAAACTCCTTCCGTTGATTTTGATGCTCGCATCAAAAAAATTTCCCATCCCAGTACAGGTCAATTCTTCATTTGTTCATTTCATTTCATTTTTCTTCGCCTCCTCCCTTCACACATTTTCCCAAAAACCTTTATTCAGATCTTCTGCAGGGTTTCCCCTTTATACCCAATTCTTATTCACTTCTTACCTTTCTTTCCAGAATTTTCTATCGCCAACAACCCCCATTCCACGTGTACACGGTGTGCTACATTTTTGTATGTTGCTCAGGCTCAAGAGGGAGCCTGACGATGATTTGTGTATTTGTACCAAGAGATTCAATGTGTAATAAATTATTGAAATTTTGAAGAGTTTATGATTTTGGATTTAGAAGAGTTTTAGAACCTTTTCGAATTCGAGAGTATCAGAATATCAAATTTCAGAATCTGAACTTTAGAGCTACAAAATATTAGAGCCTCGATTAAAGAATAATCCAGATACTGTAAACATAAGCATTCTAATAGAATGACAATCCTCACTTTCAACTTCGAGCTCAATTATCTCGGTTGCTTCAGAAGATATCAAAAAGTGGTAAACTGACAAAATATTTTTGAACTCATGATAAACATTTTGTCAGTTGACAATCTCTTGATATCTCTTATAGGAACCGAGATAATTGAGCTCAAAGTTTACGGATTGGGGAAGTGTTCTATTAGTGTTTTTACGGTACTTCTAACTTTCAAATATTCTAAATCGAAATTTTTGAAATGAATCACTGAATTCTGAATTTTGAAGACTATCATAAAACATCTGTTTTCTGGATAGAACTTTTTTTTTCATTGCCGCTCGTTTAAACTTTTCTAATAAGACGCATAAACGCTGTCTTATTTAGCATCCGTCTTCCTAAGTTTCCATGGAAACAGAGCCAAACGTTTCAAAAAGAGCCACCCAATTAAAGCACACACATCCATTTCAAAAAACCCGGTGACCAAGAACAACATAAGGCAAAAAGAAACACATCCTGGGCGACGAGTCAAAACGACGGACTAGTACTCATACAGAGAGGCAAAAGAGGAATTAGAGAAAAAATAGTGAGCGCTGAGCAGAAGAAGAAGAAAAACCGAGAAAAGTGTGCAAGAGGGGAGTCGCGCAGGGATAATACACATTTGTGGAAAAAAAAAGCAGAACAGACTCTTCTTTTCCATTTTTTCCATATGAGTTTAGAAGGAGTAAATATACTTGTAGTTTTGGTTTGAACATATTCACTGTGTAAGTGGAATTTTTGTAAAATAATTTCCTTTGTTTTCCGAAGTCATATTTTTTCAAAATTTCAGTCCGATTCTTCCGATTTTCAGGTTTCTTTCAATCGAAAATCAAATTGAGAAATTCATTTCAATTTTTAGAAAACGCTGATTACTGTAAAAATTTAAAGGAGCGTAGCTGTAAAATGTGAACGACTTTCGCACCGACTTGAAAAGACTACTGTAGAAAATATTTTGTCTGTCGAGTCATCGACTTTTTTCGTTCTTTTCTCAGCGAGTTTCTTGCTTTTCCTGTATTATTTTTCGATATATTTTGTATCTACAACATCAGCAACAACGGAAAAATTGAGAAAACCCCATATTTTATGTTTGTTTCTGTGTTGTCTCCGACGATCGCCCATATTTTTTCCGTTTCCCTTTTTGTTTCGGCCTCGTGGATGTATACTTTTTACATGTGGCATCGGTTCTCATCTCTCTTTTTTGTGAACTACTACTAATTGGACAACGACGTCTCTTTCTTCCTCTTTTTTTTTGTTTCCATCTGTCCCTTCTCTCGTTTCGATGATATTTAAATGACCACTCGTTCATCGTCACTTCTCTTCTCAATTTAAAACCACAATTTTAATTCTTGAATTTTAGATGAGATGTCCTCTTCTTCTTCCCTTGCTTCTCTTCGTCACGTCTTTAATAGCGACGACCCAAAAATGGAATCTTCGAGATAGAGTCGTCGCGGCAATAAATTGTGGTCAGATTTGAAGCGGAGATAACAGAAAAAGAAAGAACTTTTGCAGGAGGACCCGAAGCCCTGGGATCATATGGAATTACATATGCTGCAGATTATCATGACGAAGGCCAGGCATCAGACGTCGGAGTTCAGTATTCGTTCAACAACGCCGAAAATGATGACGTGGAAATTTATCAAACGGAAAGATGGAGCAAAGAATCATTTGACTACGAGGTTCCCGTTGGTGACGGTGAATATGTCATCATTCTGAAGTTCTCCGAAGTCTACTTCCAGAGAGTTCAAGAAAAGGTCTTCAACGTTAGAATCAACTCGTACACTGCTGTCAAGAATCTGGATATTTACGAAGCTGCCGGTGGTCGTGGATATGCTCATGATATTTACATTCCACTAGTGATCAAGGACAAAAAAATCTCGGTGAATGGCCATAAGAAAGATTATAAGGGAAAAATTGTCATCGAATTCGCGAAAGGTCCACATGACAATCCAAAAGTCAACGGATTCGCTGTGCTGCGAGGAAAAGTTGAAGATCTCCCACCACCACCAGCTCCACACGTTCCGGAAGATGATTTTCCATCGGACTTTGATATTGTAAGTCGAGCCTTCAGATTATTAGCTCTACTTCGTCCTTTTAGGAAGAGGGAGCTCCCATTCCAAACGACCTAGAGGAGGAATTCAATCCACAAATCATCCGAGGTGATGAGATGGACGATGAAGTCTTTAGTGCCACGTCGAAATCTGAAAATCCATTCGAGAAGGTATAAAACGAGCTTGAAATTTCTTCTGCAACCCCAAGAAGTATTTACAGGAGTCCTCTGATTGGGTCCTACCGGTTATCGTAATGCTCATTGTTTTCATTCCAATCGCCTATATTCTTCATTTGTACACCATGAACAGACAGAAAGAGAAACGATCATAATTCAATGCACGGGACTTTTGTTAAAAATCATTCCTCCTCTCTAGGTCTCCTTTTGTATTTTTTCTTGTAGTCTTTAATCTTCCTTTCAAAACGAACAAAATCTCTGTGAGACATTCTCTTCTAAAAGTTGTGGGTTCTTTTCCAAAAAATTCTTTCATGTGTAATTTTCATGTCAACTAGGCTTTTCAAAATGAACTAATTTTATTTGTCTCCGTGGTCCCGTTTGACGCGAATTGCGGTCACTGGCCGAACTATTTGTGGCCGAGAATCCGCAGGGCAGGCAGGCAGTGTAATAGCCTCAAGGCGAGGCGCAGAATCTGCCGCTGCAAATCGATAAACGCGTCGGAATTTTGCAATTTGCAGGCGCGAATCTTTTGGTAAAAAAAGAATGTCGCGCAGATCCAGAAGTCGTTCACGATCGCCACCGAAACGAGACCGTGAGGATCGCCGAAGACGTGATGATAGAGATAGGGAGAAAAAACGAGATAGAAAGGACAAGGATCGAGAAAGACGACGAAGACACCGAAGCTCATCGTCCGAGACGTCGATAGCAGAATCACATCAATTGGGAAGCATTTTTAGAGAAGAACGACGACGACGCGAGAGAAACGATTCGCCAAAGTAAGAGAAAGAAAAGAAAATCGATATTTTTTTCCAAGCACAGCAGCATCATTTTCAAAAATCCTCTTTTCAGACTTCCTCCTCCACCACCTCCTCCACCTTCCGATTCACCTGTCGATACTTCTATCCCATTCGACGTCAACACTCTGAATGATCCAACGAAACGATGGTTAGAGGAGAAAATCGTGGAGCAGGTGACGGCGAGAGTACACCAGTTGGAAGCAATGATGGCTGAAAAAGCCACGTCGGCAAGGAATGAGATGGAGAAAATGTTGAGAGCACAAATCGAAGCGGAGATGGCTGTCGAGCTGGCCGAATGCAAGAAACGAGATGTAAGATTTTGGATAGCTCCTGTTTCAGTTTCGCAACGCAATTCCGAAAATTTCAACTGGAATAAATATTTCCGAAGCTTTCTGAACTACAGTATGTCAAAGGCGCATGCTAAAAATTTCCGAGCGGGTTTCGAAAAGAATTACGTTTAGTTTTTTTTTTGCGTTTCCGAGATCTGTTTGTCAATTTTTCTTTCCGAAAAATTCGGAAAATCCATTCCGAACATCGATTTATCGAAAAAAAAAAGCCAAAAATCAGTAATTTTGCAGGAAGAATCTCGTAAAAAATGCAAGCAATTGGAGGCGGAGCTTGAACGGAAAGTTCTAGAAGCTGAAGAAAGTCGCAAGAAATTTGTAAGTTGTGTGTCATATTATGGAAAGAATGGAACGTCTTCTTCTGCCCAAATATTTTTATCGCTGATTTCAGATGATGTTTTCTTATATATATATACATTGAAGAATAATCTTTACTGATATGATATTTTAAAACTTTTCTCTTTTTTCTCTTATGTTTCTCTTATTCATTTATTGTGTGCCATCTCTCGAAAGAAACCCAGGACAATCACCAGAAGAATCAGAGGAATCCCGTTGTGAAAAGCAGGTATCCGGATGAAGAGCAAGTTTATAATATATTGGTTCTCCCAAACGCTCAAGTTACTAGATTTTAGATTGGAAAATATAAATTCCTCTTTGAAAATTCACAATATAAGAATCCCCATTTTCAGGAGGAAGATCGCCTGGCGATGCTCGAACAGAAAGGACAATTGGAGCGTGATCGTGCAGATCTTGCGCGTCAGAAGAGTGAATTACAGAAAAATGAGCAGCAAGCGATATTGAACAAGTCTGGGAATGCGAGAGCACCGATTAAGTTCAAATTCGGAAAGTGAAATAGATTGTTTTAACTGAATTCCGCAATGTATGGCTGATCTCATTCGTTATAAATTTTTCTAATAAAACGATATGAAAGGTTTTGAATCCTGTTTGTTCTCCTTAATAAAATTATGTTCGGGGGATGTTTGATTCGATTCTGACTACGTTTGTCGTTGAAATCTCTTGATTTGAGTTGGGATGTTCGGAATCTCGGAATATCGAAAATTCCGAGTTTTAATGTTTCGGAATTTTTAAAAATTCGAATTTTAATATAGAAATTCCGCTTTCCTTCCACAAAAGAGCGGAAAATTGACGAAACTCGACCAACAGATTTAGGAAACTAAAAAAGCCAATTTAAATTAATTCCGCTCGAGACCCACAAGACAACTTTTCGTGTGCGCCTTTGGCATACTGTAGTCGAAAATTCAGAATTTTTAGGATGTTTTTAAATACTCCGAAAAGGGGGTACGACGAATTCGAACGTTTTCAAATTCGAACAGACCTAAAATCGAAC